CGCGGGCACGGGCGGCACTGGGGGCGAGCGGGGTGGGCTCAGGGAAGCGGCGAGGGATTGAGCGCGCGATCTTGTTGTGCGAGGAAAGGTGCCGTTTGAGAACGTCTTTACTGAAACCACGTTGTTAGAGCTGCTGGGTGGTGATGTCCCTTGCCATGTCCCTAAATAATTATTTATTTCTCTCCAGTCATTTCAAGACAAACCTGGCTCTCCTCTGCGCTAGCCGCTGCCTACCAGGTAGCCCGAGGAGCCTGGGTCTGGGCAGGGAAACTTACTCTGCCCTGCAGTGCTGCCAAGATGGGGAAATGACCTGAAATTCATTGGAAGAGCTTCAGTAGCTGTGAGTAAGGCAGGATGTCAACCTGGGTCCTTACTGCAACGTTCTCTGCTAAGCACTTGACCTTGCTCTTCTTGCAGAGTGCACTGCATGCAGTCCCACTGCCCCGAGGGCTCTGCTGAGCAGTGCAGGGGCTGCCGGGGGTGGGTCCTGGGGACAGGTAGTGATGGTGACTTGGTCTGAGCACAGAAGGAGGGAAGAGCTGCAGCTGTGCTTTGATCTGACTGGAAGGGGAAGATTAGGGAAATAGGGCTGAAAAGGAGAAAATGCCTTAGTCTGTGACCAGCGGGTTACCTGGTTAGCAGCCAAAAGGTTAGCAACCACCACTATGTATATTGATTTTAGTTTGGGAGGCAATTTAATGCTCATAAAAATGCTAGCTGTGGAAGTCAGTATGCACTGTGGAGAGTTGTGTAATCTTCACAGGGTGGACACACACCCTCCCTGCTGCTCCTCTCCTGTTGCCAACATTGCTGAAGCCTAGAGAAGACCCGCTGTTTGGAAAGGAGAAAGGTTTTTGGTCCTTAGAGCAGCTGCATAGCTGGCCGCAGAGCGAGGCTGCTGCTGAAGGCTGCTAGTTCACTAGTTACAATGGTGTTTTCTGCACGTGTTTTGAGTTATGTTTTCAAGGACCTGTGTTAACATGTGGTTGCTGCAGGATCAACCCACTCTAGAATTGGTTTTGAACATTAGCTGTTCAAATAGGTAACATGATAACAACTTCTTCCTTAGCACCGAAGACGGCCTCCAGATCTGTCTGGGGAAATTGAGACTTAGGGGCTGAAGAGCCAGCGCAGGCCCCAACAGGGGGGCTCAGGAGGACCCGCTGCGGGTGCCTCGCCGTCCCCTGCTCCTCCTCGCCCGGCAGGCGTGGGAACAACCACAGCCCCACGCGCTGGCACTGGCCATCCTGGAGCACGCGCTAAATTATAGACTGCAACAAAGCCCTCGCTCTAAATAAAACTGCATTTACTGAATGTAAATGATGTTGCTACAAACAATTCATCCATGAACTAAACCAGAGACGTCTGGCTGGCTTCCATCGATGGCTGCTGAAGGGATGGAAAAGTAAAAGGTCAGTAAGCAGCTACCTATAAATAAAAGTGTTAGTATTGACATTAATCTTAAACTAAATTAATATCTATTGGGAACACATGAATGGGAATGACCTTTATTCCTCATCGAGCCCAGTTGCCTGCTGCTGCGGGCAACCAGATCAAATAAACCCTTTTATAAACTGGCAGTGCTTAGTTTCTCAAGTCAGGGAGCTGCTGCATCAGCATCTTTCAGAGACCCAGTCTTTGCAGGATAAAAATATGTAAGGCACATTCAGGGCCTGTGTGTGGAAAATATATACAACTGAAATCATACAGATTGCGAGCTCTGAAGTAGAAGATGGCAGATTTATAGACTTTCATGCATTTTTAATAGGCTGCCTTCTGTACGTATTCCTTGCATAAATGATGCATAGGTTAGATGACAAAAATAGTATAGAGTTCCATAAGCAAAGAATATGTGTGTTTGTGCATATATTGCTGTACCTGAAAATTTTCTAACCTTTGGCTGTTTGACTTTGCATCATGAAACACTTTTTTCATGTTGTTCCCTTTTGAAGGTAGGCCAAAAATTAATTTTTGTTACCATTATCCTTGAGGCCAGGCATCCACAAGCTTGGGATAATGCATAAGTAAGATATTTTAACACTTTAAGATAAGCAAGGTGTTTAACATTTGAAGTAGAAAACTAGTGACACTAGTGACAAAATTTTCTAATGAGTATCTGGTGGATTTTGCTTGTTGGCCTGAAAGCGAAACAGCTGTTGAGGTGGGACTAGGAAAGCTCTGCTGGAAAGGCAGCGCTGTGCTGGAGAACAGCTGGTTCTTCCTCCAGTCCTTGCAGGGGCCTGGTAGCGATGGGAGGGTGCAGGCAGCCCCGGCCCCTGCTCGCCACGCACCCCTGCATCTCCCGTGTGGCAAATGTGATGGCCCGGGGAGCAGCCAGCGCGGCCGCCGGCTGCTCTGCCTGGGACCGCACGCCGCCCAAATGACTAGTTTGTGACTGTTTGTGCTCCAGCTCTCAGGCAGAAGATCTGCTTTTCCTCTGTGAACAGTCATCTGTATGAAATCCCCAGCAGCGTGTCAGAAGATGCAAGACTCACCAGTTCTGCACAAGTGCTTTTGACAGTGAGAAATTATTTGAATTTAAGCTTATGCAAATACTATCATCATCAGCTCTTTATTTCTTTTGATGTGGTCTTTAGTACCAAAATCTTGATATTTTCACCTCCATAAGAACATTGATGTTTCCTGAAATTGCAGGTTGTCCCTTTTCAGAATAGCTCTGGGCAGCATGCATTAGAGGACATACCCCTATTTTCTTGATAATTTTAGCTTGTAAACCAGCTCTTGCAGTATGATGCACCCACCCAGTTTCTAGGATTTTCGAACTGGCTTTAATTTGTAAGCAGCAGATTTGTTCATCTCTAAGCATTTTATTTAACCTCACAGAAATACTAATGATTAAAAAAAATCCTTTAGAGTTGATATTACTTGGAATATTAAACAAAGGTTAAAATGAAGATAACTTATCTATTCTAGCAAAGCAAAGGATAAAGGCTTTAATTACACAACCAGAAATGAAGAAGAAAACAAAAGATGCATTAAGATGGTAAGTGACTACTGAGCTTCCCCCTTGGCTTGTGTCCCAGCGCGTCCGCTGGCTACAGGGGCTGCCGCGCACAGGAAAACCTGCTGAGCCCAACCCTTCCCAGGAAGGAAATCCCGCTCCTTGATTTTGTGTTTCAAGCTTCACTCTCAATTCATTTTTCAAATGACAATGCGGCTTCTGGATTTGTATAAAAAATGGTGGGGATGACTCAAACCTCCCCCTCTCTTGCTTTGTCTTAATATGGAGATAGCAAATGCAAACGTGGTCTTGACGGTGCTCCCACACCTTCTTAGGAGCTTCTCTGAACTCACATTAGTTTTTGGTGCCTTTGCAAGCTTTGCCTCAAACAATAGCATTTTCAGTACATTTGCAATGCTTCCTAATTCCTGCTATCATTTACCAGAGAGACCAGCTGTGATGTGTTAATCATAAAAGTGATGCAATTTTTCAGCATGGCTTTTGTCAACTTTCTGCTTCTTCCATTTGCTGTTTTGGGCAGTTCTGGCGTCACGGGAGCTCGACTTGTTTCCCTGCATTAGAGGAAAATAGGCAGGTACCCAATTATGCAGGTTTTCGAAATGTTTTACCTGCCGTTGTTCAAGTCATTTGTTTATTTGCCCTCATGACAAAAGAAAAGAAGGAAAATGGTGCTGGTTTATAATTAGCTGGATTGGTTGTCAACATACCATGCCAATGATAAATTAGACCACTGCTCCCAAATTGCCAATATTCTTGTAACCAAAGAGAGTTCATCCTTTTTAACCATAGTGCCTGCTATCAGACAGGATGTTTGCAAGATTCATCATTTTGTGAACAGACACTTCATCATCGCACAAGGCTCCTAAAGGATTGCTTCAACATTTCCAGGGAAGCATCCCGGAGTCCATTAAGCGAGAGCATGCAGTTCTAACGACAGCGTCACGCAGCAGGTAAAGAAATCAGACAAATGGATTCAGAAACAATGTTTTTAAGCAAGAGCTATCTGCCTCACAGCATCTTTTAAGAAACTGTTCCAATAAAAATAGTGCATAAAAGGAGCAGGAGCATGAACTGGAAGCAAAAGGCAGTGCGGTTGAAGTTGCACCAGTTGTGCAGCCCAGACGTGAGCACATCCATGGACAGAGGTGCACAGGGCTGCAGCCTCCATGGGGCAGCAGCAAACTCCAGCCTTGAGCACCCTCAGGTGCCAGGAAAGGCTGTTCTCCCTCGGAGAGCTCTAAAAGCAAAGGCAGAGCAGTATCTGGCTGGTCATGATCCCAGGCTCCCGGCAATCTAAAGCAGCAGGTATTCAAGTAGATAATATTATGAAAGAAAATGCCAAGGCAGGTTCTCTTTTCTTTAGCAGGTGCCGGAAAGAAACACAAGACCTTAATTATGCTTATGCTTGGGAAGGAAATATGAGAGGTATTAGAAAATGATGCCTTGATAGACAAGCGGACAAGAAGTAAGACTTTCTGTTTCTGAATGCAAGTAGAATCACTCTTATGAGGGTTATATAAAAGAAACATCCTTGAATCTATTGTGCATATCTAAAGATAAGAACAATCTGTGCCTCAGTCTGTAAAGATCTGGAGATTTAGAGTGGAGCCTGGTTTACAGAGAGAGAAATGAAGAGTGGCTATTTTGGACAATATCCAGCAAAATATTATCCTACCCCAAAAGTACCAGCACCACTACCAGCAGTTTATAACCTGATGAAAGAAGTTGAGCTGTGGAGCTCTTGCCCCGTTACATGACACCAGGCCAGGGTGGTGCTGGAGGCCTGGTGAGCTCTGCTGCCTTCTTCCCGTCCTGCTGAGGGGAAAAGAGCCGTGGCATCCGCTGGGAAGCAGTGACTGCGCAGCAAGAGACTTGGTCCATGTGGGAGCCAAGAAAGAGGAGTGGAAGAGGCAGCAAGGGTGCCCCAGAGAAATCCCCTTCAGGCTTAGAATGTTTTGGGGAAGAATGCTGTTAAAAGGAAATTTACGTTATAAATAAGCAGCTTTGTATTAAAGCACTCTGCTTCAGTTTCTTATTAGACTTTGGCCAGTGAAAAAGGTACAACTGTATTACCTTAAATGTCTATGTAGATCAGATCACATGAGTCAATAGCTTCTTGGAAGCTGCCACCTACAGTTATCAGTTGCTGCTCTCAGCACCCTATAGCTAGAAAATACAGACTTGTAAAAGAACATTAATTCTGATTTGCAAAAGTGCATTAATACTGCCAGGCATACTGATATTGCATAGAGTTAGTAACTTGTGGCCTGAATATCACGGAGCACTTGTGCACATTGTAATTTTACTGTTTTCTGTTCCTGGAAACACAGATTGGAGATCAGAACTAAGCCCCCTAAGAAATTATTTCATTACAATTGCATTGCTCTTCCTGGATCTCCCATCATTGCCCCTGTTTATAAACCTATATGGGTAAAAGATAATAGTTTGATTTGCTCTAATCTAATTTAGTTTTATCTAGTGCAAAATGTTCTTAAGAAGAGAAGTGCTGTAAAAAAATTTAGCTCAGCCTACTACAATATTGTTTTCCTGATTTTACTGATAAATGGCCATCTGCTCCTAAAATACCATAAACTATAGAGAAAGGGATGATGAGGAATGAACCTCTCACAAAACGTGCATGACTGGCAGCCTGTGCCATGAGGTGGGAGAGCGGAGCTGCCCCCAGATGGGACCATTCCTGCGGGGATGGAGCCCTTCCCTGCCACGTGGTGCTTGGTGGTGGGAGCGATGCGTTCGGTAGCTCCTGTTGTTTGTGCTACGCCCGCTGCAGTGCAGAGGCTTTGGCAAGAAGGGGGATATTGCAC